TATCTAAGGGGGATTATTTAGGTAGACTTACAAGATCAGAAGCAGGGAATTTTATGATACCCACTAGGTGCTGAAAAGCAAGAGGATATAGTAGCAGGACCACCAAAAAGACATAAGAATAGTAGACACAGAAGACTCCAGGATCGAAGGCCTGGAGAGTCATTAGAAAGTCTCCAGTACAAGACATATCATGATTAATGGTCACAAATGTAGGTATTAAAAATAAGGAGATCTAAAAATGAATTACTTAAACATTTACATCAAAAATAAAATAATAGCATTTAAATACAGAGCTATCAGAAGAAAATAATAATAGATATTAGAAAACAAATTAATTTGCAAAAATGAATCAAGTGAATGAAACTAAAGTCTGATTATTTTTCAAAATGTCAATAAAATTGCTAGGTTTCTATTCAGGCTAACAGACATGAGAGAGAGAGAAAGAGAGAGAGAGAGAGAGAGAGAGAGAGACAGGGAAGGAGAGAATGCAATATGAGAAATAACAGTAGATATCTGCAGAGTATTCCATCCACTAACAACAAAATATATATTCTTAGCAGCACATGAAACTTTCTCCAAGATAATCATACTAACCCATAATGCATGCTTAATTCAAATTTATCAATGCAGACTATCAGATTTTAGAACAATAATACTAAATCAATTGGAAATTAAACCACAAAAATTAGGCAAACACATGGAAATTAAACAATACAGTTTATTGTTTGTTTTTTGTTTGTTTGTTGCTGTTTTTTGAGACAGGGTCTCACTATGTAGTTGAGACTGACCTGGAACTCACTATGTGGTTCAGGCTGGTCTCAAACTCACAGTAATCATCCTGCCTCAGCCTCCCGAGTGCTGGGATTACAGGCATGCACCACCATGCCCAGCTTAAATAATACATTTTAAAATTATAAAGTTTAAAATATACAGTTTAAAATTATAAGGAAATAAAGATCAGTATAAACTTACTAAAATTGAGACTAAAAGAATCAGTGAATCAAAGAGCTGCTTCTTCAAGTAAATAAGGATATTAGAAAATTCCTAATCAATCTCACCAGAAAAGAAAAAAAAAGACCATATCAATGTAATTGAAAATGAAAAAGGTGATGTCACAATAGACACTGTTGAAATCCAGATCATTAGTAACTGCTTCACAAATGTGTACTCCAATAATTTGAAGAATCCAGGAGAAAGGGATAGAATCTTAGATACATAAGTAGTACCAAATTAAACCAAGAAGATATAAAAACTGTATATAATCCAACAATTAATAGGCAGTTAAATTCAGGCAATGACCATTGAAGAGCCCAGAGCTTATCACTGAATCCTACAAAAACTTTAGGGAAAATATAATACCAATAGTCCTCAAACTCTTTTATGATATTGACAGTGAGGAGTACATATAAAATCATTCTGAAAAGCTAACATTACTCACAGTCCAAAACCAAATAATGACCCTCCCCCAAAAGGCCAATCTCTTTAATGAACATAGATGCAAAAATCTTCAACATGAAAGTGCCAATGCAGCAAATCATCAAGAAGGTCATACACCGTAACCAGTGGGCTTCATTCCCATGGATGTAAGTGTGGTTAAACATACACAAATTGATAAATGTAGAACAAGGACAAAAATCAAATGATCATCTCAATATATTCAAAAAAAGCCTTTGAGGGCTGGGGATTTGGCTCAGTGGTTCTGCTGCCTTCCTTGCAAAGCACAATGACCCAAGTTCGATCCCTGGTACCACAAAAACAAACAAACAAACAAAAAGCCTTTAGGAAAATCCAATATTAGGACAAAACCTTTTAGAAAATAGGTATCGAAAGATCTTATCTCAATATAATAAAAGCCATTTAATATAGACCTATTAGCAAAATAATATTAAATAGGAAATGTTGAATGCTATCCCTCTAAAATTAAGAACAAGAAATGGATGCCCATTATCACCTTTCCTGTTCAATATAGTACTGTAAATATTAGCTAGAGAAATCAGGCAAAAGAAAGACATAAAAGGGGAAAGTACCTAAAAGAAAGAAAACAAATTATTATTTGAAAATGGCACGATACTTTTTTTTTTTTTTTTTGGTACCAGGGATTGAACTCGGGTCCTTGCACTTGCAAGGCAGGCCACTGAACCTCTGAGCTAAATCCTCAGCCCCAATATACTTTAAATAGAAAAATCCCCTAAAATTCCACCAAGACCCAAAGAATTAATCATGAAACTCAGTGACATAGCAGTCTGCAAAATCAACACACAAAATTCACTAACATTCTGATACACCAATAATGAACTTGCTGAGAAATAAATTAATAGCATGAAGAAAAAATTGAATGCTTAGAAATTGGCCCAACAAAGAAGTGAAAGATCTCATAAATCAAAACTGCAATACTTGAAAATGGAGATGAAAAATATACCAGAAAATGGAAAGATATTCCTTGTTCCTTAATAAGCAGAACCAGTGTGATCCAAATGACCATGTTACCAAACGGATTTAATATAGTCCTAATCAAAATACAAATAGCATTCCTCACAGAACTAAAGAAAACAATCAAAAATTTTATATGGAAGTGCAAGAGACACCGAATAGGAAAAGCATTCCTAGACAAGAAGACAAAGGCATCAAAACCCCAGCTGTCAAGATATTTACAAAGCTACAGTGATACAAAAAACAGCATGATACTCGGACACAAACACACCAGTAGATCCTTTGAACAGAACAGCGGATGCAGAAAGAACCTCGAGCATCTTGAGGCATCTGATCTTTGACAAAACAACCAAAAACATACATTAGAGAAAATATCAGTCTCTGTAACAAATCTTGCTAGGAAGCTGGATAGATATACAAAAGATTGAATCTAGAACCATATGGTAAAAGAGGTCAATCCTTGAAGGTATGGATTGGGGCATCGCTTTTATGAACAAAACTGCAGTTATACAACAAATAACATCAAGAATCTACAGGTAAGATTGCATCACATTATAAACGTTTTGCACAGAATAGCAAAAGAAAAACTATCAAAATGAAGAGGGAACCTACATAACGGAAACAAATCAGGAAGGAAGGGAATACAAGATGGATGGAGCAAGAAGGGTAGGGAGGGGAAGGGGATGTAAAGGAGAATTAAAATATATTATGTACACTTAGCAACTTGTACTACAAGTGTACTCATTGTGTACTGTAAACATATACCAGTAGAACGTCAATTTAAAAGTGAAATGAAAGAGAGGTCATCATTAATGAGAGGATAGCTTTCAACTATTAACAAAGGCATACAATGAATTTTTATACCTACCAATGTGATTGCTTACACAAAATAAATTATAGTATTTGAAAAACACATCTATTAAAAACATACAAGAATAAATACACAGTCTGAATATACAAATACCAAGTGAAAAATTGATAACTGAAATGTACATTTTCTTATAACTTTACCAACACCATTTTTCACATGTTCAATCAGATGTTACATGCCCAGATAAGAGCAAAAAATCAAATGTGCCACTCATCACAAGTGTGTTATTATCTCTCAAATCTCAATATGTGCAGGATCTATTATCTCCGGGACTTTGTTCTTTTTGTTTGCTCTTTTGTTTTTTTGTATTCTTAGTTTTTATGCTTTTTAAGCATTGATTTCAGTGTCATTTACCAAGAGTTGAAGTATCAAATAGCAGAGTTGCAGTGTTCTTAATGATCCCTGTACTCCTTCTATTCATATCTATCGCTCCTTAATTCTTGGCAATTTCTTTATAATTTCTACTTTTTCCAGAATGCTGTATAATTGGAATCACACAGATTCAAGTCTTGTGCAGCTCACTTATTTCATTTTATTATATTTTTCCATATCTTACCATGGCTTGGTGAATCATTTCTAATGAAATATATGTATTAGTTTATTTATGCATTGGCTAATTGGAAGTCATCTTGGTTGTTTCCAGTTTGGTACAGTTATGAATATGGCCTCTGTAAACATTGATGTGCTAATATTGTACATGTGTAAGTTGTCTAATCATTTTTCTATGAAGAAGCATTTCTCACTGGGTAGTGAGACTATTTTCCTGGGTAACTGAAATTCCCCATCTCCCCATTCTTTCATTCCTTAGTATATTTGAAATTGTATCAGTAGTACATAAGTCTCAAGGCTTTTGTCTTCCTTCATTGCTTATCATCACTCTGTGACTTCTTTATATTATTTCTGTTTGCTTAATATTTGGGACTTATCCCTTTACAATTAGCTTTCTAATTTTCAACAATTATGCAAAACATTGTTGATAATTTGGATATATAAATGTATATTTAAACATGACCTTGTAGATGAAAATGCATATGTGTATTTTATGAGTTTGCCTAAACTGTTTTCTTGAAAAATATAAATATTGAATAATTCAGTGTTCACTTTTAGTTAAGGTCTCTTGTAAAATGATATTTAGCAAGATATCCTACCTGTAAATTTTAAGTTCTAAATAGAATCAATATGTCTGAAGATGCATTTCAAATGTTTCAATGTCTTAAAGTATTTTTACATTTAAAGTATGGTCTATTAAGTAGAATCTATTTCATGTTTTACATCTTATTTTATTTTTATTCACAAGTTGTGAAAATATTTATCTTAATATAAAATGTGGCATCAAATTAAAAAATGTCTTCTTACACAGAATACAGAGTATACACGCCAACAATTTAAAACAAAATTAGTGCATCTGATAAAATAATTTTTATTTTCCAAAAGTTACAGTAATAGATATTAAAATGTAAAGTACTTTTGCAAATTGTTTACACAACCTTGATGACAAAAGAGGTCAAGATAAAATGAGATTTATTGATTCTGAGTGAAAATATATAATAAAACCAATTTTAATTTAAAAATGTTATTAATATGGTGAACAAAATCATGTTGGATTTATTTGAAGAAAGGTAGAATTAGTGGAGATTTTTAAGTGTGTTCTATAAAACATCTATTTTTTCATTATATCAGATTTTTTTTATTTATCTAGGAAAGATGGATCAAAAGAACCAATAGTGGAGATGAGAACAGAGGATGAAAGAATTACTAATCATGAAGATGGAAGCCCAGTAAATGAGCCAAATGAAACTACACCACTAACAGAACCTGAGTATGTAGCTTGCACTGTTTACTTGTATTTTGATAAATGCTGGTAAAATGATCACCTATTTTCCTAATTTGTAATATGTACTTACAAATACCAGCATCTTTTGTCAAAGAATCAAACCATTTCTTTCTTAATGAAATTACACATAGATATCAAAAATTCATTTCTGTTGAGATATTTCATGTGAATACTTTATAGCAATATCACAGAAATTCCACTATTGAATTATATATTTATAAGTACATACACACGTCAAAACATAAGTTGGTCATTCTAACACAAATCTTGCTGTTTAGAAAAGTGATTATTTCAAAATATAAATTATTTTCATTGAAATAATGATATGCCATAAATTATTCCCCACTTTGAATATGTGATAATGAAGTCTGTGCAAGACTATTAAGTTTAAAATCATGATAAAGAAATTGAAGAAATCTTGCTAAACAGTGTCATTTTATTTTATTTTATTTTATTTTATTTTCCTCATTGAGATTATTGGTACATTCTAGGTATACAGTACAGTTACAGTCATCATCGGGATCTTGTACCTTTACATGACAGGTCGTTTTGACAATATGCAATGCTAAATTTGTTACCTTTTCAGTTACTTTACTCTCAATTGTACAGTTCTTAAAATGTTTTCCATATTTTTCTCCAAACCAGTAATTTAAATGTTAGAGTATATATTCGCATTTCTTAAAAGTGGAAATATTTTATTTCATTCCAGAAAATTGCCTTTAAAAGAAGAAAATGGAAAAGAAGTCCTAAATCCAGAAACTATAGAAATTAAAGTTTCTAATGACATCATCCAATCAAAAGAAGATGACGGCAAAGCATAACAAAGTCCCAGCGGCTTGAACGACCCTACAAAGAGCATCTGGATTCCAGTGACCCTATGACCAAAACTATTCCACTGACCTTAATTTCTTGGGAAACTTTTAGCTTGGAATAGCTTGTACACATATACATATGATCAAATACTCCTGCTCATAATCCGTTTTCTTTTGTTGTCCTTGTTGTGGTTGTTCATTTCTTAGGAATTTCAGTATAGAGACTCAACTGGCACCAGCTCTTGTGTATTGATTCGATTCAATGATTGAAGTGCTGCAATTTATTATATGGCTAGAGAGCTCTGTTTCTTAAGAACTTTGCCTCACATACCACCAAGAAATATAGTTCAAACTCTCTACCACGTGAGGGTGTAAGGAAAAACAAAATGACACAAAGCAAAAAAGCTTTGTGAGCTGAATGTTTTAGAGAGCCCTGCATGTTTATGAATCATAATTTGGGCAATAGCTTATTAAAGTGGCTTTCATAGTAAAATGAAGGCAGGTGATAAAGATTATACATTTTTCAGGAGAATTTCAGGGAACCCAGGCTTAACGAAGCCAGTTATCTTTTGCAGATATTAAAATTTGAGGAAACTTTGGAGAACTATTTTCAGTGCATTTTCGACATTGATTTTTTTTGACAGACTGAAGTACCACATAAAAATTGTTACCCATCGGAAAAAATATTAGTTATGTATAAAATTAGATTAGAAAGATGCCCTAAATCTCTGTCTCTTTATATATGCCATATCATTCATAATGGAATATACAAAAATAATGTATTGCTAGTGAAAATTATACTGACTTCTGCCCTCAGCTTCAAATAAAATAAATTGAAATGGGAACAGTATTATTTTGTTGTCTTGATATATTTATAAATACTTGATTTTATTTCATTTTTAAATAATTTACCAAAAACCAAGTCTTTAGAGTTCAAATATTTCAGATAATATCATCAGATACATTTTTAGTACACAAATTTAGACAAAACTTTTAGAATCATTTTTTAAAATTTTTATAATTTCTTCATTAATTGAAACTGACTAGAGGAAATTAGAAATCTATGTTTAGTTAAATTAAGGAGAAGTTACTTAACCTTTAAATGTGCCATCAAAATATCAATTATAAACAATCAAATTGCCACAATGTTTTTAATGTGATTGTTTTAGCTGAAAATCATTTTAAGACTTTTGATAAATAACTTTGGTTGAAGAAATTCCTTAACTATTCAATACAGACTTTCTAATATCACTTGTTAAGGTTTATGCTTATTAACTTCCAAGCTATGCAATTTCCCAGAGATAAATATTGAAATGTGATTTAACACATATATAAGGAAAGTGTATTCATGGCTATAAATATACACATCAATTGGGAGCAAGTTTTAGATTATGTCTTAACTTAGACAGCCAAAGGTGTTTGGGGTGCCATTGTATTAATAACCTTTGGTGTTTCTGGTATTCACTAAATAACTCAAATGTTGGTAATTGAGAACACATTCCAATATAACATTGGATAAATTAATAGTGCAGAGGGACCTGCTTTGAAAGTGTTTTCCGTAATTTTATGATTACAACGTTAATGCCATGAATATTTTTATTTACCAAGTACTTGAAACTGTCACCCAAGGAGAGACACGTAAGTAATTTTATGCTATCCTTCACTTTGTCGGCCATCAGCAGGACAGAATATGCCCATCTGCATGTTAAGACACCAAAATTTCAGTGTCATCGCCATATATTTCAGGGTAGTAATGTAGGAATCTCTCCATTTTACATTTCTGTCATATTCTGAAGAACAAAATTATAGTGCCTGTCTAGCAATTTGAATAGTGTCTGAACAAACTTAGTTATCCAGTTGATTTTTCACATATTTGACCATTTGTATTTAGTTTATGTCTGTCTAATCATCTGTTTGCTCTATTTTGTTGTGCTTCATTTTGTTTGTATCAGTGTGCTAAAATTAGTCAAAATACTTGAATTAGTTTGTGCAAGTGTCTATAAAGCAGTTATCAGGAGGGCTGATTTTCTCTGGATCGGGCCACATGGATTTGAACTAGTGATACTGAAAGAATTCAGATGACTAAAACCAACTTCGCATGTTTACTGTTGTTATACTTGTACTACACTGCAAAAATAGAGAAATCATAAAGAAGTCATTTTTGTGTTTTCTCTGAATATTTGGTTTTCGTATTCATTGGAATTTCTATGTAAAGTAATGGATGGAGATATTTCTTTATATATATATATATATATAAATATACTGTTAAATTTCTTGCCACTCATATGGAATAATTATCTGAAATCAATAGATAATTTGGAAATAATTGTAAGCAGACTGTTTCAAGTGTATTGTTTCAGTTCTTTGAGCGATCCTTACCTCTTGTCCTTGAAACGTAGGCCATGCAGGAGCAAAGCATTACTGTGAAAAATCTCTTTTGTTTTAACATTTCAATGGAATGCTCCAGATTACATTATTTGTAAAAATTTCTAAATAAGAAATGGCTTGTAGTAAATTGAAAAATATGAGTAGAACTGAAGTAACTTGTTTCTTATCTTTTTTGTTCTTATTCTAGACTAACTGCATTGATATAACTGTATAAGTTTTTACTATTTAAGAGCATTCAAGTGTTAGTATAAAATGTCAAAAGTTCATTGACTATAAATACTGTTAAGATAATCTGAACCCTATGCTATTTTAAACTGAGAGGCAAAGATTCCACAGAAAAGATTGCTATTATTTATTAAATTATATGCAATTAAATAATGACAATCTACACTTAAAACCTATAATCTTAAACTAAGATCAGAGTTTTAATACATTATTTATTTCAAAAACTGCCACAAGTTAAGTGTTTTACAATGCTTTGCAAAGGAATTTAATTAAATTATGATTTCTGCAGATTTATTCATTGCTTTGTGGGGTAAGATATATTGCAATTTGATTGATGTTAATATCTAACACCAATATAATGTTCTTCAAGTTTTGCTTTATTTTTAATATTAATGCCTATAAAAACATTTTCAAAAACTATTTGACCCAATAAACTTCTGATGAATTTTAATGTGTGAATTAAACATTTATATAAGTGTAAAAATATTATGAATGGAATTATTTATTTCAGAGCCAAAAATTAATTGTACGTTTTAATCATATGTTAATTTTATGCTTATTTGAAAAAATTAAGATGTATTTGTGCCTTTGAATTTTCATGACACTTTGCTTCACTAAAAGAAATATTACTGCCATTATTAATAACATAATTTCGCTCATACCTGTGACATGCCAGTGATACTGTCTTGTTTACATTCAGTGAGTACATTTAATTCAAACCACTTTGACTGGGATATAAAATCCAAATGTAATAAATTATCCTATGTAATTTATTTTCACTAATAACAATATGGTTCTTTTCATGTATACCTGAAGTATTTTTAATTTGTTCTGTATTGTTTTTTAGACAATAAATGGTAGAGATTGTTGAAACTGTGTTGTTAGACAGTTTTAAGAAAAAGCAAATAATTTTTTAAAAATAAGGTAAGTTCAGTGATGTCACTTCATTGTTCCTGTTAAAATACTTTTTATTTGATATTGGAAAGTGAGAACGTATTAAAATAGATTTGGGATCATAAATCATCCTTGTGATGATAGGTTAATCACTGATGAAAATATCTCTGACTGAAGTGGTAGAAAAATATTCTCCATTTCATAATTTAAGAATATTGGCATAGACTATTATAATTATTTATGAAATTATCCATGTTCTTTTTCATGGAGAATAAAGTAAATGCTCTATTTGAATTCCTCTTGGAGTTCTTTTTCATAGTCATATCCACAGTGTTTATTATTCAATAAATTTTAGGAGAAGGTGAAAATACTTTTAAAATGAGATTATTAACATTACTTATCTCTAGAGAGAAAAGATTTACATCTTATTATCAATTTGGAGCATTCTTGCATAGTCTCACAAATTGAAACTGCATATGGATATATTGACATATGCTAACATTAAAATGTGCAAAGTCAAAGAAATGAAACATTCTGATTTCAATATGAAAATATTTCCAGGAATTACTCTACACATAGGCTTAAGGATATTCCAAGATGAAATAATTTTGTGTGCAAAGGACAAAGGTATAAAAGGATCTAAACATATAGTTGCTAAATACATATGCTTTTCTTCCAGGGTTCACTCTTCCTTTTGTGAAAATTGCATTTACCCATGTAGATGCAGCTGTTTAACAAGATTATACAAGAATGCTTAGATATTATTTCCCCCATATTAAAGTCACAGACTTTTATATTATATATAATAGCAAGTATTTATTTGATAATATATTTAATACACTTAGAAAAGCACTTCATTATTCATTATAGGAGTTTACCAGTAACTTAAATCTATTGCTTGGTATCACATCTTATTTTGGGTACAATTTTCAGATTTCTCACCACAAAATGCTCCTGATTATAATTATAAAAGTTAAAAATATAAATTTAGATATTACAAATGTATTTTCCTCTTCTGATATGAAAACATGTATCTTCAGGCATCTAGTTTTAGCCTTCTATGGAAAAGAATAAGCAAAGCATTGAGTGTTGGAGCAAATCAATACAACCACACATGAAAGTAGAGGAACCCCGAAATGGAAGGCAGAAATCGCAAACAGCTTCTACACTTGCAATAGCTAAGAAAGACCTGTCTGTGAAAAGTGATGTACTAAGGAGTAGGAACATTGCTTCTATGAAAATCAAGGTCAATAATACTTAAACAAAGAAGACATCCCAGTGAACACTAGAAGACAAAGCTCATAGATATAGAATTTATGATTAAATTTAAAAAGAAAGTTTTTCTACTCTAGAAAAAATGTGCATATTATAAAGTAAATGGTACTGTCAAGAACAAGTGCAACTGTTCCAGATCTCAAGGAAATGCTAATGGTTTAAACTTTGCCTCTAATCCATGTTAGAAATAGGTCAACTTATTACAATTAAAAGTTAACAAAAATCACATTTTTGGTATGTGAATTCTATTCTATGTTTGGTATGCATTAAAACATACTGTCTTTTTAAAAATACATATATACCTTTCAAGTTCTATATCCTTAAGTTGATTACCATGAGTTTAATTGCTTCATTATGGTATGTCCCTATGAAATGCTGTATATATATATATGTCTAAACTGTAAAAATTATACTGCAAATGTTGAAGTTTTGTATTTATGAGAGACATTGAAAGTATGGCTTACAGTATATCAAAATTGTCACTCTTCACCATTTGTATATTAATAGTAAAGATACTTTTACTTTAATAAAGTGTTGAATTTTATGCTTATTTTAGTAATATCTCTGAAAAGAATAAGCCTATAAACTGATAAATAGTTATAACTTTTAAACATTTCTAGACATAGATAATAAAAGAATGAAGTGCTTTCTGTCACCGTGTATCAACCTAATCCACGATCTTCTGGCCTCCTCTGTCAGTCTAGCTCAAAG